TGTCATTGTTATTTTGAGATAATAGTTTTGCTGTGTTGCTTAGGCTTGTCCCAAACCTCAGTTCAAGCAATTTCCCTACTTCAACCTCCCAAGTACCTGTGACTACAGGTACCCTCCACTGTGCCCACTTAAGATTTATTTATTTGTTTGTTTGTTTATTTATTTATTTATTTATTTATTGACACAGTCTTACTATATAGCCTAGGGTGGTTTACAGGCTAGGAAGTATGATTCGAAAATACACAGGTAAACCAAGAGTGCTTGTGCATTCCTATAATACTAGCATTGGGAGGTAGAAGCAAGAGGATCAAGAGTTCAGTCCCAGATTGTAGCAAGTTGGAGGCCATCTTATGGGCTATAAAACTATGTCAAAACCAAACCAAACCAAACCAAACCAAAAAACACCCCCTAAAAAGGCATGTGCCAGCACCACCAAGATATTTTCCTATCTTTATAGTACACCTGGCCATACTTTACTATTTATAATAGTGTGTAGAACTGAAGTGTTCTAAAAGAAAATACAGTAGAACTTAAGCAGGTACAGATCACAACATTCCCAGTTACATTTCTTGGATCCAGTGAATATATTCTCTTGCTATTTTAAGCACCTTAAGTCACTGTTGCATTACAATGTTGTGTTGTTTGAGAGAGGCAATGTAACATAGGGTTAAAAGTGGCTGGCGACTCTGGTCCCCAACTATCTAGGTTGGAATCCTGGGTCCTCTGCTTACTCCTGGTATAGGTAATAGTTTAGGGCATATCCTCACCCTTCTTCACAGTTGTAAAGTGGGGACAATAACAGTACCTACCTCCTAGGATTGGCAATGAGTTGACGCTTATAATGCTTAAAGAACATTGGTTCCAGGTGGTGGCAGCTCACGCCTTTAATCCCAGCACTCTGGAGACAGAGGCATGCGGATCTCTGTGAGTTAGAGGCCAACCTGGTCTACGTAGCGAGTTGCAGGACAGCCAGGACTGTTACACAGAGAAACCCTGTCTCAGAAAAACCAAAAACCAAAAACCAAAAACAAACAAAAAGAACAGTGCTTGGCAAGTAGTAAACATACAACAAATTTCAGTTACTATTATTATTTTAATATATTATTCACTGTAAAAGTAATTTTAGTAACCTATGTAGTAAAATTATGAATGATAGTTCTGCTCTACTATCAATTTAGTAGACTGTAGGAGCTCTATACTAATCAATACCCACAAGCAATAATTAATTTCTAGTTTATGCCACAGAAAAGGGGAAACTGGTATTGGGAGGGCCCAGCAGCCAATAGTACACCTACTATTTGAACATGCATCTTGAAACTCATGCTAACTAACTAGCAGATGAAATCACTGTGATGCAGTCATTCTACTTCCCTACCAAGAAAACCTGTAACAATATGCTTGTGTGTGTAATCAGCAGCCACAAACTCCGGGGCATCGAGATTTTCCAGATGCTTTCCCTAATTGCCAGATGCTCAGTCACAGTTCTGCTTAAGGAGTTTGGAAATAGAAAATGTCAGCAAGTGAAGAGGCTTGGCTATCTCTAACCTAGCGTGCAAAAATGACTATTCTCCCAAAGTTGCTCTAGATGGGCTGCTCATGCAGTACATCCCTACGCTAGGAAGTGTTTATGGTGTGCTTCCTGTGTACCCAAATTCCCTTATACCCCGTGAGATATGCAGAGGTTTGCAAGGTGTCTGGGCTCTAATGGAGCCTAGCCAGGGAAAGAAGTCAAATGCAGAGAAATTAGGTGTTAGGCTGTGATACTAGTTCCAAGGTTTTTGACATTGCAAAAGAGAGTGAGTAGGAAGGAGTGTTTGGCATGCCTATTCCTAGTGTAGGTGGGACTTCAATTCCTTTAATTACTCAACAATGATTTACCAACTAGCCACCCTACTCACTAGGGGTGTGCTAGTGAACACAATGGACAATCTTATCTATCTGGACTTTTTTTTTTTTGTTTTTCAAGACACGGTTTCTCTGTGTAGTTTTGGTGTCTGTCCTGGATCTCGCTCTGTAGACCAGGCTGGCCTAGAACTCACAGAGATCTGCCTGGCTCTGCCTCCCGAGTGCTGGGATTAAAGGCGTGTGCCACCGCCCGGCTTCTAAGTTTAGAATTTTGTTGTGAGTTTTCTCAAGGCTACAACTTCATAGACATATTTGTATCAAGTGCCTGGGGTCATTAACCCTAGGACCAAGTGGCATTAGACAGGCTAATCAATATGTACATGAAGTGAGCTGTCTTAGAGATCAGGATAGACAGAAGGAAGTTAGGTGGGGAAAGAGAAAGCTATGCTGTGTGATAGTTGTGAGGGTGCCCAACGTCTTCAGGCAAAACAGTACATTTGATTAGTCTGCCTGCCTGCCCTCTTTCCTTCCTTTCTCTTTTTCTGGAGACAGGGTCTCATAAATTCATGCTGGTTTCAAACTAGCTCTGTAGCTGAAGATGACAGTGAGCTCCTGATGCTTCTGCCTCCACTACCTGAGTGCTGAAGAGCAGGCATGTACCACCATGTCGGGTTTATACACTGGTGGAAATTGAATGCAGGGCTTCACACAGGCTAGGCAGGAGCTCTACCAACAAATCTGTAACACTAGCACTAGCCTTGGTTTTTTTTTTCCTTTTTCTGAGGGAGGATCTCTTTATATAGCCGAGGCTGACCTCAAACTCCCTTTGTAGTTTAGGGTTGGCTCAAACTTTACGTGTAGCCCAGTATGGCCTTGAGTTTGCTATGCTCCTAAGTGCTAGGATTACAGGTGTGTGTCACTGCACCCAGCCCTAGCTTTGGTTTCTGACTGTGATTCTGCAATACTGTGTTTCCCTTTCCCAAATACGAAGGGAAACAACTACTTGACCCATCTGTTTGAAACCTACCAGTAGTTGTTTTATCTTGTAAATTTTTGTGTCTCCGGGGATGGAGCCCAGGCACTTACTCAAGCTAGACCAGCTGTCTGCCACTGAGAGACACCCACAGCTCTGGAAATGCAGATTATGTTCTGCATCTGAAGCATGTGGTCAATTTTAGATTATCTTTCATAATTGAAGCAACTGGCCAGACCAGTTGTGTCTTGGTTTTCTGTTGCTCCTAAACACAACTTGGGTAGAGGTTTCTGAAGCAAGAACTGCTTATAACCTCTGTTCGTTTCCCCTTAGTTTGGCTTACAGCATGAGTGGATTGCCACATGAATGCCTGTTATGACCTGTATTTTCTCTCTTTTATCTTTGGATTTGATGTGTTATCATGTTCTAGGAAGGTTTGGTACTATTGTCCTGGCACTTTTTAGTTCTTTTCCCTCACTCACTAAACAGGTAGAAATGATCATATTAGATCACTTTGTTGCAGTCCAGTCGTTCATTTGGATGTTCTCTATCTTTAACATTTTAATTCTTTGATGTTATCTTTTGAGACAGGGTCTCCCTATGTAACTTTGATTTGCTATGTAGTCCAAGCTGGTCTTGAACTTTTGTTAATTTTTATAAATCTGCCTCCCAAGTCCTGGGTTTACAGACAATTGAGCAGCAACACATGGAAAAAAGTAGCTTTGGGGCTGGTTTTGTTTTTGTTTTTGATACAAGGTCTCACTCTGTAGCCTAGGCTTTCCTCACACTCACTATGTAGACCAGACTAGTCAAGAACTCACAATAATCCTCCTGCCTCAGTCTCCTGAGTGCTGGGATCATAGTTGTGAGCCACCTTTAATATAAGGAGGAACTGCTTCCTCATTTATGTTTTTTAAAAGCATAGTAAACAGGTTTATTAAGAAAATGTGAGGAAGAAGGATTACCAGGGAGAAATACTCAACTTGTTTAAGAAAATTAAAAAATATTTGTGTGTGGGCATGTGCCATGTTGTGCGTGTGAAGGTCAGAGAACAACTTAGAAGAATTTAGGTCATCAGGCTTGGCGAGAAGTGCCTTTACTTGAGTACCATCTTGCTAGCCCAGCCTAGCCCCTTTTTAATTTTAGAATCCTGAGGTCAGGGCAGGCTCTGCTAGTGTAATCCTGAGAGAGAGTTGCTTGCTTCCTTATTTTATCTCACTGAGAATCTCATCTAGGCCATGCAACAGGAAGGGGATAGATACATCAGAGAGAAGACATTTTGGAACCAGTTTGGAGTGTCAGGAGTGGAGGTTTCTAGATGTGCCAGTAGATCCTGATCTGCAAGTTTGAGACACCTACTTTATTTCATCTCAGGCTGTTGTGCTGCATGAACCCACAGGACATGGAATTATGCAATGGTGGGCCTGAAAGCTGCCCAAGCCATTCTTCACCCTTCAGTCTGTTCCCCTACTGTGTACAGACAATGAGTCCTGCCAAGTTCACAATTTGAATCTTTTCATTTCCCATCTTAAGGTTCTTTCTTTCTTTCTTTTCTTTCTTTCTTTCTTTCTTTCTTTCTTTCTTTCTTTCTCTCTCTCTCTCTCTCTCTCTCTCTCTCTCTCTCTCTCTCTCTCTCTTTCTTTCTTTCTTTCTTTCTTTCATTTTTGAGACAGGGTTTCTCTTTGTAACAATCTGACTACCCTGGAACTCACTTTGTAGTTAAGATTCCTGTTTAACCCAACAAATAAACTTTAGGGGTTTCTGTATTTCAAGAATTATGCCAGTTTTCTTGCTCTATTTAGTGTGTACTCATTAGTAAATGACAGTATTTGCTCTGTCTAACATGTAGGTTATGAATATCAAGTAAAATAATTGTATGTGAAACACTTTGTAGATAGTGTGTGGTGCATGGGTGAAATAATATACACTTCGGATATGTTGTATAGTAGTGGAAGGTGCACTGAATTTCAGCTGAGTCTGGAGTTTTTCAGTTCTGCTAACACACTGTGACCTTGGGCAAATTAGTTGGTATTTCCTGGCCTTTGTTTCTTTATCTGTAAGTTAAAGTTAATAATGCCACCCATCTATCTAGAAAGTTGCAAGGTTTTAAAAAATTTTTTATTTATTCTTCTTTCATACAATATATCCTGACCTGAAGCTTCCCCTCCCTCCTCTCCTCCAGATCTACCTCCTCCTCCATTTCCCTTCAGAAAAGGATAGTCCTTGAAGTAATATCAACCAAACATGGCATAACAAGATACAATAAGATCAGGCATGAACCCTCCTATCAAGGCTGGACGAGGCAACCCAGTTGGAGGCAAGTGGTCCCAAAAGCAGGCAAAAGACTCAGAGACACCCCAACTCTCACTGTTAGGAGCCCCACAAGAACACCCAGCTGTAAAAACCACAGCATTATTCAGAGGGTCTGGTGCAGACCCATGCATGCTATTGGCGGTTCAATCTCTATGAACCCCTGTGAGCTCTGCTTTGTTGATTCTGTGGATTGTGTTCTCCCCATGTCCTTGACCCCTCTGGCTTCATTCTCCTCTTCCTTGGGGTTCCCTGAGTTTTGAGGGGAGGGACTAGATGGAGATCTCCAACCAGGGTTCTCTCTACCTAATGTTTGGCTGTGGGTCTCTGCATCTGGTTCAATTAGCTGCCAGAGGCAGTATCTCTGATGACAACTAGACTAGGCTTCTGTTATGCCCAGATCGAGGGGACCACAAAAGACCACCATGGAGACTGAATCCTGTATGTAAAAAGCAAAGAGACTTTATTTCAAGCTCGAACTTGGATTCTCCATCTGTCCTAAGCAGTGATGAGAGCAGAGAGCCCCGAGCCTGGGCGGGATAGGGTTTTTATCATAGTAGAGGTTGGGGTGAGGGGATTTCCAGGGTTCAAGACCCTGATTGGCTGACATTTGTCTAGGAGTATCTGTAAAAGGGAAATAAATATGTGTGTGCTAGGCTCAGGGACATCTGGCAATCTTATCTAATCTTATCTAATGGTTGGAATGTTTGGAATGTCAGATAATTCCCCTCAGATGCTAGCCCTCCCTGGGTGTCTTCAGCTCTTATGGCTTTTCCTGGGGACTGGGAGGTGCCTGCCAGTAAGCTTGTCATGGCAGCTGTATCTGGGCCCCTAAGCCTGTCATGGCAACTGTGTGGTCAAAGCTGTTTTGGGCCCCCCACAGCACCTATCTATAAGTATAGCAGAATCTCATTTGGAAACATTTCATCATTTTTGTTTGTTTTGTTTTGCCAGTTGTGTATGGTTCTACCCTAGAACTCTGTATTCTTGTTGTTTTGTTTTTTGTTTTTCTAGACAGGGTTTTTGTGTGTATCCCTGGCTGTCCTGGAACTTGTTTTGTAGACGAGGCTGGTCTAGAACACAGAGATCCTACTGCCTCTGCCTACCAAGTCCTGGGATTAAAGGCACATGCCACCACTGCCTGGCAAAAACTCCATTTTTATTACATTTGTATGTGTGTGTGTATGCACTTAAATAGAGCAAGAAAATTGATATAACTTTTTTAAATACTTATGCCCACATTCAGTCAATCACCGAGTCTGTTGTCTAGTTCTTAATATTTCTCAGATTTATCTACTTTTCCCTATCTTCATTTAGTCCCTGATCTGTTTTTCCTTTATGAGCGATAGCATTTTAGAAAAAATTGTGGCTGTATGTGTGTGTGTGTGTGTGTGTGTGTGTGTGTGTGTGTGTGTCTGTGTGTCTGTGTGCGCGCGTAAGTGAAATGTGCCATTGTAACCATTGTTTGAATTTTTAATCTTTTAAGACAGGATCTCACTCTTTACATTCTGGCCTTCTACCTCTATGTGAATTGGGGCATTGAACTCTAGTTTTCAGGCTTGCGCAGTAAGTCTTTACCCGGGAGTCATCAAGCAATCCTTATTTTACATAAACATAGACCCATCGTTCAATAGTGGCAAATGTATTTGTGCTGAGAGAAGCTGTAAGTGCATCCTTTAATAAGAAAGGTGAAAACTCAGCTTGCCAAGGGAAAAAATGACCATCTAGAGCTTGTTAAGAGCTATATTAAGGGACTGGAGAAGACTGCTCAGGGATTCAGAGTACTGGCTGCTCCTTCGAAGGACCTGAGTTTGATTCCCAGCACCTGCATGGTGACTCACAACCATCTGTAACTCTAGAGGATCTGATGCTCATATAAAGAAAAATAAATACAATTTTTAAAATTAAAATACCTTACGAGAGAATTTTTTTTTTTGGTCTGTGAAACTATAAAGACAAAAAACCTAACTCCTTTTCCTGTTATATTTTATTTAGTTTTTTAAAGAATAATTTGTGTATTTTATGTATATAGATGTTTTGTCTGTATCTACATCTGCACACTAGAAAGAGGACATTGGATCTCATGAGACTACAGTTATAGATGTTGTGAGCCACCATATGGGTGCTGGGAATTGAACCAAGGACCTTTGGAAGCTAGCCCTCCCTCTTAAATTTTAAACATTACCTCACAGTGCATGATAAATGCTTACTTAAGTTGGGAAAGCCATTCAGTTTGTGTCTATGGGAAAAAACATGGTACACTTAGGGTTTGTTATGGTCTGTGCTTTCAGGTATCCACTGGGGATTTTGGAATGAGAGACCCTTGGGTGTGGAGGGACGGCTACTGTTACACTTACACAGTTTGTGTTTTAGTCAGTTTATCTTTCTCAGTGCCTATATGTCCAAACTGAACTTCTTTCTTGTATTTTTTTTTTTTTTTTTGGTTTTTCGAGACAGGGTTTTTGTGTGTAGCTTTGCGCCTTTTCTGGAACTCTCTCTGTAGCCCAGACTGGCCTGGAACTCACAGAGATCCGCTTGCCTCTGCCTCCCGAGTGCTGGGATTAAAGGTGTGTGCTACCACCACCCGGCTATCTTTCTTGTTTTTTTTTTTTTTTTTTTTTTTTTAAGACATGTTTTCTCTGTGTAACTCTAGCTGTCCTGGAACTCGCTTTGTAGACCAGGCTGGCCCCAAACTCAGAGATCTGCCTGCCTCTACTTCCTGATTTCCTGATGCTGGACTAAAGACATGTGGCACAACCACCTGGCTGAATTTCTTTCTTTCACTTTTTCGAGAGAGAGTTTCTTACCAGGCTGGCCCCAGACTCAAAGATCTGCCTGCCTCTGCCTCCCATGTGCTGGGTTTAAAGGTGTGCACCACCACTTGACTGACTTTCTTATATTCACAGTCATACTACTTTCTTTTTTTAAAAAACTGGTTTCTTTATTTTTATTTTGTGTATATTGGTGTTTTGCCTTCATGTATATCTATATGATGGTGTCCAATCCTCTGCAACTGAAGTTACAGTTGTGAGCTGCCATATGGGTGCTGGGAATTGAACTTGAGTCCTTGGGAAGAACAGTCAGTGCTCTTAAGCACTGAGCTATAGCTTCAGCCCCTATTGTCACATTACTTTCAATTGTATTTATTTTTTAAAATTATGTGAAAGTGTTTGTACCTCTACCCTGTGTATACAGTGTCTGTGGAGGCCAGAAGTGGGCTTTGGATCCTCTGGAAGGGGAGTTAAAGTTAGTTGTGAGCCACATGATATGGGTTCTGGAAGCAAGTTAAGGTCCTCTGTAAAAGTAGCAAGTACTCCTAATTGCTGAGCTATCTCTCTAGCCCCAAGTCATGTTGCTTTCTTTTCTTCTCCCTCCCTCCCTCCCTCCCTCCCTCCCTCCCTCCCTCCCTCCCTCCCTCCCTTCTCTCCCTCTCTCCCTTCCTTCCTTGCTTTCTTTTGTTCTTCTCTCATATATTATGTCCCAACCTCAGTTCCCCCCCAACTCCTCCCACTCCCTCCCACCTCATCTCCTCTCTCCCCCAGATCCACTCCTCCTCTGTTTCCCTTCAGAAAAGAGCGGGCTTCCTAGAGATATCAACCAGACATGGCATAAGAAGTTACAATAAAACTAGGCATATACCTTCATATCAAGGCTGGATGAGGTAACCCAATAGGAGGAAAAGGGTCCCAAGAGCAGGCAAAAGAGTCAGAGACACTCCCACTCCCACTGTTAGGAGTCCCACAGAACCCCAAGCTGTACCATAACATGTATGTAGCGGACCTAGCTCAGACTCATATAGACTCCCTGATTGTCACTTCAGTCTCTGTGAGCTCCTATGAGCACTGGTTAGTTGATATTGTGAACTGTATTCTTGTGGTGTCTTTGACCCCTCTGGCTCCTACAGGTCTTACCTGCCCCCACTTCCTCACGGTTCCCTGAGCTCTGCCTATGTTTGGCTGTGGGTCTCTGCATCTGCTCCCATCAGTTGCTGGATGAAGTCTTTCTGATGACAATTGGGCTAGGCACTGATCTATGAGTATAGCAGAATATCATTAGGAATCATTTCACTGACGTTTTTCTTGCCAGTCGTGTTTGGTTCTATCCTAGGTCTCTGGGCTATCCAGCTTCTGGTTCCTTGCCATCCAGGCAGTGTCATTTTATGAGGCCACAGTCACCCTGATACCCAGACTACACAAAGATTCAACAAAGAAATAGAATTACAGACCAATCTCCCTCATGAATATTGATGCAAAAATACTCAATAAAATGCTAGCAAGCCGAATCCAAGAACACATCAAAAAACCATCCACCATGGTCAAGTAGTCTTCATCCCAGAGATGCAAGGATGGTTCAGCATATGAAAATCTGTCAATATAATCCACCATATAAATAAACTGTAAGAGAAAAACCACATGATCATCTCATTAGATGCTAAAAAAAACCTTTACAGATTCTAACATCCCTTCATGATAAAAATCTTGGAGAGATCAGGGATACCAGGGACATACCTAAACATAATAAAGGCAATAGGCCAACAGCCAACATCAAACTAAATGGAGAGAAACTCAAAGCAATTCCACTAAAATCAGGGACAAGTCAGGGCTGTCCACTCTCTCCATATCTATTCAATATAGTACTTAAAATTCTAGCTAGAACAATAAGACAACAAAAGGAGATCAAGGGGATATAAATTGGAAAGGAAGAAGCCAAAGTATCTTCATTTGCAGATGATATAATAGTATACATAAGCGATCCAAAAAATTCTATCAGGGAACTCCTACAGCTGATAAACACCTCAGTGAAGTGGCTGGATACAAGATTAACTCCAAAAAAATCAGTAGCCCTCTTATATACAAATGACAAATGGTCTGAGAAAGAAATCACGGAAACAACACTCTTCGCAATAGTCACAAATAATATAAAATATCTTGCAGTAACTCTAATCAAGCACATAAAATACTTGTATGACAATAACGTCACATCACTTTCAAAGGGAAGTGTTAGCAG